CCTGGATCCATGTGAGGAAAAGCAAGCAGCCAGAAGGGATACCCCAATGATGAAAACGAAGCACTAAGACTGGGGGAGGAGGCGGCCTCACTGTGGGTCCTGGGGGAGAAACAGGGAAGTCTGGAGAAGAGGGTTTGGGGGACAGATAATGAGTTCTGTCTTAGACATTATGAATTGAAAACTCCAAGAGTCACCTGCATAAAGGTGATGGTTAAACTCATGGGAGCTGATTAGGTTACCAAGAGAATACCCACATCAAAGAGACTGAGAAGACATCAAAGAATCAAGCAACACATGTCCAGCGTGCCCATTTACCTGGTCCTTGGTGGATGGACCCACTCCCCCCTCACCCACCTCCCATGGGCCCCTTTACTAAACAGAGGCAAAATCCTCCTGGACTTGAGAACCAAGAGGCACTGATTTGCCCTTTACTGGCTGCGTGACTGCGGCTAAGTCCCCTTTCCTCCATATTTCTGGAAGACAGGGGCAGCTAGATGGCACAGTGGATACAGCACCGGCCCTGAAGTCAGGAGGACCTGAGTTCAAATCCGGCCTCAGACCAAACACTTGACACTTACTAGCTGTGTGACCCTGGGCAAGTCACTTAACCCCACTGCCCAACCCAAAAAAAAAAACCCCAACATATTTCTGGAAGACAACGGTGCTGGAGGAGATGGGTTTCTGAGGTTCCTTCCAGTTCTGAAAGCCTATGTTGAAGGATCCTTCTAGCTCTAACCTTCTGTCTATGGGGTCAACACAAACTCTTCCAGTATTCCCTCACAACCTGCTCCCACCCATCCTTCCACCCTTGCTGGGCCATAGCCACCTTCATGGTCTCTATGTTCCATCCCACGGGCCCTCCATCTCCCATCTGCACAGGTCTCACACCATCTCTGGAACACTCTTTGTCCTCACCACCACCTTCCTTCAAAGCTCAAACCAAGCACCAGCCTTCTTGAGGTCTCCAAGCTGGGAGAGCTGGCTGATACACTGCCTATCAGAGCCAGGATCCACAAGGGTCTCAATAGGCTAATGCATGCAGCTAAATCTAACATGATGACACCAACAAGGATAAATTTAAAGTCTTCCATTTGGTACCAAAAAATCAGCTGCACCAGAATAAGATAGGGGAGCCAAGGGTTAGAAAACAGTTGTTCTGAAAAAGATCTGCTCTTAAATTGTATTATAAAGCAGCAATCATCAAAACTGCTTGGTACTAGCTAAGAAATAGAGGGGTGGATCAGCGAAATAGGTTAGGTACACAAGACACGGTAGTCAATGACTATAGTAATCTATTATTTGATAAACCCAAAGACCCCAGCTTCTGGGATAAGAACCCACTCTCTGGAAAAAACTGCTGGGAAAACCAGAAAAGAGAATGGCAGAAACTAGGCATAGACCCAAATCTCAGACCATATACCAAAATAAAGTCAAAATGCGTTCATGATTTAGATATAAAAGCTGATACTGTAAGCAAACTGGTAGAACACGGAATAATTTAGCTATCAGATTTATGGAGAACAGAAGAATTTATGACCAAACAGGAGATAGAGAACATTATGAAAAGCAAAATGGATAACTTTGATTACATTAAATTGAAAAGTTTTTGCACAAACAAAGCCAATGCAACCAAGATTAGAAGGAAAGTAGAAAATTGGGAAAGAATTCTTACAACCAGTCTCTCTGATAAGGTCCTCATTTCTAAAATATATAGAGAATTAAGTCAAACTTATAAGAATACAAGTCATTCCCTAATCGATAAATGGCCAAAGGATATGAACAGGCAGTTCTAAGATGAAGAAATTAAAGCCATCTATAATCTTATGAAAAAATGCTCTAAATCACTACTGATTAGAGAAATGCAAATCAAAACAACTCTGAGGTACCACATCACACCTAATAGATAGGCCAACATGACAAAACAGGAAAATCATGTTGGAGAAGATGTGGGAAAATTGGAAGACTAATGCATTGTTGGTGGAGTTGTGAACTGATCCAGCCATTTTGGAGAGCAATTTGGAACTATGACCAAAGGGCTATAAAAATGTACATATCCTTTGACCCAGCAACAGCACTTCTAGGGCTGTACCCCAGAGAGATCATACAAATGGGAAAAGGACCCACATGTACAAAAATATTTATAGCAGCTCTTTTTGTGGTGGCAAAGAATTGGAAATTGAGAGGATGCCCATCAACTGGGGAATGGTTGAACAAGTTGTGGTATATGAATGTACTGGAATACTATTGTGCTATAAGAAATGATGAACAGGCTGACTTCAGAAAAACCTGAAAAGACATGTATGGTCTGATGCTGAATGAAGTGAGCAGAACCAAGAGAACGCTGTACACAATAACAGCCACGTTGTGCGATGACTAATACTGATAAACTTAACCCTTCCCAGCAATACAAGGATCTAAGACATCTCCTTCTTCTCAGCAATGCAAGGATCTTAGACAACTCCAAAAGACTCATGATGGAAAATGCTACCCACACCCAGAGAAAGAACTATGGAGTCTGACTGCAGATGGAAGCAGACTATTTGCTCTCCTTTTCTTTTGTTGTTTTGTTTCTTCTTTCTCATGGTTCCTCCCATTAGTTCCAATTCTTCTTCACATGATAACTAACGTGAAAATATGCTTGACATGAATGTGTAAGTAGAGCCTATATCAGATTGTGCACTGTCTTGAGGGGGGGAGAAAAATCCAAAACTCAAAATCTTATGGAAGTGAATGCTGAAAACTAAAAAGAAATTAATTAATTATAAAAAACAAAAACAAAAAGCCAAGAGCCCTGGGGACAAGAGCTGGTCTGGGGGGTGGAGTGGGGTGTCTTGCCCATCATTTATCTAAGTGAACTCCTGTAAGGCAAGTCACCTCTCTGGCAATCTAACGAAGCCTATATCTCAGGACAATGCTGCTGCTGTTTTTAATTCAGAAGGGAAAGAAATGCCACTTTTCAGAAAGAGGTTAGTGAAAATAAGGACCCAATTCTTTTCCCACCCAAGGGTCCAGACTCCCCCTTGAAAGCTATTCACCATCCGCAAGGCTCAGAAGTCCCAGCTGAGAAAAGAATACACTCCAGCTGCTTCTCACCTTGTGAGTTTCCCTGGGGAGCTTTACTTGGTGCTCTCCATACCCACCTTGTGCCCTTTGTCTCTACAAGGCCTGCCACCTCACCTGTTCCTTTCTCCTCCAATGAATCTGTACAAGGCACCCGCCAGGATCCACTGGAGGAGGACACAGGCTTTACAGGCTTTTCCTCCCTCCCTCAAGGGTGTACCCAAGGGCCTTCTCTCCTTTACAAGGCATCCTGTCTCCGTCCTTCCCTCCCCTAATCTCCTACGTTTCTATCATTTGAGACCCTATCTGATACATCCCACTGTCCAAGTAGCTACTTGAGGGAAAGAAGGAGATCATTCTCTTCTTCGTATTCTGAGCACCGAGCACACAGTAGGCACTTTGTATCATTACACTCAATCTGCATCCCGCACATGCTCGATGTTTGCTGTACCAACAAAACAGCAATGAGCTCCATCAAATGCAACCATCAGCACAGCCTATTATAGCAGCAAGCAATTGGAAACAAAGTTGACATCCACGTGCTGGGAAGCAGGGCCGGCAGCAGAGGACGTGTGACAGACACACAGGAGCAGAGGCTGACCTGAAGAGCTGATGGTGCAGAGGGAGATCAGCAGGGCCAACCGACACGGACAGCGACAGCAGCCATACAGGAGCAGAGGAGCTAGAAGGGACCTCAGGGAGCATGGCTGGCCCCCAGACCTCATGCACCAGGGGCCCCTGCAGGGAGCGGGGAGGCAGGACCTAGCCCTGGCCACTAGTACAGGACCCTACAATCCTGCCAGCACCGGTGCAGGCACATTCACTTGCACTTCCTATTTCACTTCTAGCCCTCACACGTGGTCCAAGAAAAAGCTATTCACTGAAATTCAGGGGGTCTTCAAAGAGGAGGAAGATTTGTAGACCTAGGCAAGAGACACTCGTGTTTTTGCCAATGTACTCTCCGCCTTCTCACAAGGCGAGCTGCCCCCAAAATGAATGGGCTACCCTAAAAGGGAGTGAGATTTCCAAATGAAAGCTGGATCAACACCTGTCAGGAGTACTGCCAAGGGGGCTCATGCATGGGATGACGGACTGGACTCAGAGCCCAGAGTTGTGGGTCTCTAACGTTAAGTGATATGGCACCTACGGGGCTCTGAACAAAGCCAACAAGTCTGAGGTTCAGGGAAGATGATTACCCAAGGCCCAAGAAGTTACTGTCCTGGGGCATGGTCACAGAGGCAGTCCTGGGACCCAGGGGCTCCTGATTCCAAGCCAGTAACAATCTCACCGCTCTATCAGGCTGCTGCTCACTGTTATTTATAAAAAGTGATCACAAAGTATTATGGCTGAAGAAGCCTCACCAAGTACCTAGCCTATACACACACCACACACACACACACACACACACATTTTTTCTTTTTACAAACACAGCTGATGCCAGCAGGAGGGACCTCACCCAAGGCTGCAGGGGTAGAGCCAGCATTTGAGCCTAGCTAGGCCTTCTGCCTCCAAGTGCAATAATCTACTCCCACAGATGGGTTCAGATGGAGGCAGGAGGAGATGGGAGAAGGAAGATGAAGGGGCAGGAAGGAAAAGGAGGGAAGAATGGAAAAAAAAAGCTCTACAGAACCAGAAAAGAATCATACCTACCCCCTTGGCAGCAGACTGGGTAAAACCACAGGTTTCACAGGGCTTACAGCAGGAAGAGACTTAGTAAAAAATCACCCAACCTCCACCCTCAACAACCCCCACCATCCCTGCCCACTTTCAGCTGAGAAAAAGTGTGGCTGGCCCCACACTGCCCAGGTGGGAGAAGAGAAGGCTGAGAAGCGTCAAGCCCAGCTCCCCTGGAAGGCCAAGGAGGGCAGGAGAGTCCCCTCAAGCCTCCAGGGCTGTAAGACCACGACAGCACGTGCTAGAAGGAGCAGCTTCATACTCACAGGAACGATGAGCCCTTGCCAAGTCAATAAATTAGCTTCATCAACCTGGATGTTACGGAAGTTTTTCATCCCACACTTGCGGATTTCTTCCAGCTCCTGCGGACCAACAAAAGAGAAACAAACATGAGGCCAATACAAACACCTTGCACGTCAGCCCTTCCCCATGATTCCGATGCCACTGAGAATAGGCACCTGGGCTCTAGCGGAGAGAGCGCAGGGGCAGGCAGAGCTCGCCAGAGGAAACACCAGACTACAATAACCCACCAGGGAACAAAGACTCCATCTGCAGAGCAAGGCAGAAGAGGGAAAGATCACTGACTTGGGATGGGAGGGGAAGGGGTTCACAAAGGTGGACAGGTGGGTAAGGCATTCCAGAGAGAGAGATACCAGCAGAGGAAACTGCAGGGATCACAGCAGCGTGAGGACAGTGAGGAGCGTATCTGGCAACTGCCACGTGTGGCCCAAGAGGCCGCCATATAAAATCAGGTTGGCGTGGAGCCAGATGATGGCAGGCCTTTACCGATCAAAATTCTTCTCTGACACGTAAGACTGAACAGCTCTAACTGAATGAACCATAACCCAACTTTGACAGGGGGCAGAAGAGAAAACAGTGAGCCAGTCTCTAGGTGGTGAACCAGTCCCCTAGAAGCACAACAAATGGTTCTGCCATATTTATTTCCACAATTTGACCTATTCTCAATAAATGATCTGAGAACCTTCTCTTGATAGAGCTAGCAACAGCAACCATACACACTCGTATGGCGCCTACTGTATTCCGGGCATTGCGGTCACTGCTTTACAAATATTAACTCGCTTGATCCTCATAAGACTGTGAGTTGGTGCTATCACTCCCATTTTAAAGAAGAGGGAAACTGAGACCGACAGAGGTTATCAGACTTGCCCAGGGTCACACAGCGAGTGTCTGGGGCTGGGTTTGAACTGAAGTCTTCCAGACTCCAGGCTCAGGTCCCTAGCTGCTGCACCATAAAAAAGTCCCATTGTTCATAAGCTAATTGGAGGTCAAGATTCTAAATGAGACCTTGCGGAAGCCCCTCTCCTCCACTAGCAGGGGTAGAGAAGCGTCAAACAGACCAAATATTTCCCTGTTAGCACTTAGGCTGCGATAGACCAGCTGGTGGTAGGAAAGCCGCAGGGCTGGAGGTCAGCCAAAGTCGCCGGCCTCCCTAGGCTTGCTTCCTCACCTGCAGATACGTGCAAGTTCACAGCAGGCCAGAAAGGGCACCCAGAAAACAGCTGATGCTGATAAATCTCAGTGACGTAGGTTTGTGGGTGAGCCTCGTTTTTTCTTCATCCGCCAAACCAGAATTCCATTTGCCCTCTCTACACCCAGGCTCAGAGTGGGTAAAATCCTTAGCAAACCTTACATTGGGAGGTCGATGTATTCTAATTATCATAATCATGCAAGACAACTCAAAACCACAAATACCGGAATTTTTCCCAATCCTTAATCTCAGCTGATGCTCAGCTGGCTTCTTTTCTAGTCCTTCCTCCCCATCCTTCTAGTCCTAGGTTGCAACCTACAGATCCTGCCATTTCAAGATCTGGCCACCCCAATAAATGACCTCTCTCTTTATGCCCCCAAACCAGCTTCTCCTCCCAATTTATGCATTTCTGTCTATGCTATTACCCCCATTTTTCAGCTCTGAAACTGGAGTGTCCTCCAGCCCTGCCCATGCAGGGAAGAGAACATTCTTCTCTGGGGCCCAATGAGCAGGACTCCTACCTTCATCCTGGCCATTCTATTCCTGGAGGCCTCACCCAGCTTTTCCCAGCAGCCGCCTCTGCCCAACCTCTAGCTTCTCTCTGGCTGCAGAGAAGCCTGCCATCTGCCCTGGCCTCCAAGAATTTCTCTCTTCCCTCCGCCTCACCTCCCACCAGCCATCTCATTCCTGCACAGTCTTCTTTCAATCAGCTGCTCTTTTTGTAGGCCTCATCTCACGTCACCAAAAGCACCCCAACAGCCTCAACCTCATCTGGCTTCCTGCCTTAAGCCCACCCTGACCCACCCTATCCCCACACCACTGCCTGTCTCATTTCTACCCACACACTTTCCAGCGCTCCCCAGTGCCCACTGAATTGAGTATAAATTCCTGATCCAGACACACTGAGGCCCTCCACCATCTAGCTACACCATCTTTGCCAGAGCCTACATTCTGCCCCAAACGGGCCACTCTCTGAACGTTGTCCTCTATCCCATGCTCCAGGCCCAGTGTGTCTCAGTTGAAATCGCTTTCCCTTTCCTTCGCTCAAGGCCCTCAAGGGCCACCTCCCAAACTCTTTCCTCAAAAGCAACCCTTCTCTTCAGATGCCTCCTGGACCGACGCCAGAACTGTGTTTACACTGACTCACAGCTGTGTACCACAGTCCTGTATGTTTTTTTTGCTGTTGTTTTTGAGGAGTGACACATTCTACAATAAACCCCCAGTAAAGATTAGGCAGCCTTTACAGATGGATTTCAGAAATTAATTTGTAAATGATTTGTTTGGAATGCTGAAAACAATTTTCTCCTTATAATGGTGGCTACTAGGTTCCCAGGATACCTTACAAAAGTATGATTATGTCATGATAACTGAAAATTTACATTTCAATGAAAACTAGTAGAAACCTGTGAATCTTTGGAGTTCCCACTGCTAACCAAGCAGCCAAGCGGCAGCCCTCCGCCTCCTGCAGAGGCCGTGCCCAGAGCAGCCAGTCTACAGTTCAGCCTATGCTCTGAGCTTCTCGGAGACCAGTCCTCTCCTGAATGAACTCAAACCTGAGGCTCCTGAGTCCCAGTGCCCTTTCAAGCCACACAAATACAATCAATCATTATGCCACATGAAATCATCTGAAGGAGAGTCTACATAAATTACAATTGTTTTTAAAGAACGAGACAAAAAAAATTTTAAATGAATGTTAAAAACTATTTTTATGTATAACTGGGGGAAAAATAAAATATTCTAAATTTTTTAAAAATGAGACAAAAAGCCAAATAGAGCAGAACTTCAAGCAGTCCAAGACATAAATGCCTCTTAACATGTTCGAAGCACATGCCAGTAGATTAGAAGATGGGAAGGACATGGAAAGAGCCTAGCCCTGCTCTGAGGGAGTTTATAATCTGGAAGGGAGACCTGAGCTATCAAGAATTATGTAATTAAATGTATTTTTAACCCCTTATGACCCAACATGAATGTGCCCCCTCTTCTTTCAGTATCGGCAGACTTCAATACTGACCTAAGCCAACCAAAAAGACTAGGTGACCGCACACACATTGGCAGAGGTGGGGGGTCCCCACAGGAGCCTGCTGGCCTTCATCAAAGAGCAGAGACATACGAGGGCTGGGAGGGCAGGCCTGCATTTCGTTTCCAAGCCCTGGCTGCTGGAAAACAAGCAGCAGAATAAAGATGCCCACCAGGCAGCTGGCAAGGTAAGACTGGCGTTCAGGAAAGAGGTCAGGACCAGAGACAAAGAGCTGGGGGCCGCCAGAAGCTACTGCCGTGGAAGCACAAAGAATGCTGAAGGGAAATGGAGCTGACCCTCTCACCCAGCACCTGGGAGCCACTGGGAGCCTAGCTGGGCAACTTCCAAAGCAGGGATGTCAAATACAATGACGTAGATCCCAGCTACTTAAAGCTGGAAGGAACCTTAATGATCATCTAGCCTTCGATCCATAGATGAGCAAACAGAATGGGACCAATTTTCCCAGGCCTGGTGGAGCCAGGATGCCACGCCAGGCAACCCCCTCAAATGCCTCATCTTGGTCCCAGCAGGCCCAGCCCCAGCTCCATACCACCCATGTGTCTTTAATACCTGTTTACACAGCATAGCCAGCTGGCACCATTAGCCCTAGTACAAGACCAAAAGAGAGGGTCCTGGGAAGAAATGCCTTTCTATGGCAATATTTACAAGGAAGGGAAAGCAATACGCATTTATATAGCACCTACTGTGTACCAGGCACTGGTCTAAATGCCTTTTGTGGGGGGGGGCCCTAGGCAAAGGGGTCACACAGCTAGTGAATGTCAAGTGTCTGAGGCCAAATCTGAACTCAAGTCCTCCTGACTCCAAGGCTGGTGCTCTACCCACTGCGCCTCCTAGCCGCCCCTAAATGCTTTTTATAAATACCATCTCATTTGATTCTCCCAACAACCCTCCAAAGTAGGTGATATTATGATCTCCATTTTACAGCTGAGGAAACTGGGCCAAACAGAAGGTAAGTAACGTGGGGGAAGGGGCCCCCCTCAAGCGTGCACAGAACTAGGAGCTCAGGGCTTCCCAACTCCAGGCCCAGCTCCATTCACCGTGCAGAGGGAGAGCTACAGCTAAAGCTCCCTCTACAAGGAATGGATTCTTCATCATCTTTGTCCAAAACACTAAAATCAAGAGAAACTATCCCTTAAAATGGGAATCTCGAATAGAAAACAATGTTTGGTTTACATAGCACTTCACAGTTCTAAAATCACTTCCATATGAGGAAACTGAGGAGCAACAGAAATGTACCTGGCACATAGCAGGTGCTCAACACACGTATACAGGTGTTCAACATCCCGTAGGTAAGGAAGGAGAAGAGCCAGAAACAGAAGGTGGGTCTGCGTCTCTAATGTCTGAAAGGAAGGACACGGGGGAGTAGTACAGAGGCCTGGGAACCAGGAGGACCTGGGTTCACCCTCTGTCTCTACTACACACCAGCTGTGTGACCCTGGGCACGTCACACCCTCTCTACGCTGTGGAGGGAGTCCCTCCCTAAATCCATAAAACCTCAGGTCCACCTTTTCCTATCCCAGAAAAAGAATCTGCAAAACAGAAAATACACAGAAGGTTTGCCCCTTTCCTGCTACAATGAACTTGATACATTTCTACCACTTACGGAAGAGACTCTATTAGCTCTGCAGTAGCCAGCCTCAGACACTGTGTGACCCTGGGCAAGTCACCTAAGCTCTGTTTGCCTCCGTTTCCTCAATTGTGAAAAGAGATAATGATAGCACCCACCTCCCAGGGTTGTTGTGAGGACCAGCGAAGGTATTACTTGTAACATGCTTGGCACAGTACCTGGCACACAGTGGGCCTTCAATAAATGCTTGCACCTTTCTTCCTTTCTC